GCGGGCGCTAGGACGACCAGCCCACATAAACAGCATGTCGCGTGTATCAAGACGGCTGTTGTGCTATCCACAACTTACGATTCTACTTACGAGATAGTGCTAGCACCCTAGTCATGAGTTGTATGCTGCATGCATGTGATTGACAAGCGATCATGTACCTTGGTAACGTATTTGGCCAGGACTACAATTGCAGAAAACCACCACGCTTCGTCAGGCTAGGCGGTCTTGTGCACAGTACAGGTTATATGACTTGATCGGGGCGGTGCGCAGCTTGAGGACGATATTGAAGGATATCCCGTCTGACGCACTTGAACAGTGCGGCCAGGATGCTTGTCATGCTTCGCATTAGAGGAGCCGACAAGGTCCCGCCCACAATCACAGGCACTCCTTCTCGAGAACGCTATGCATGGACCTGATAAGTGTCGAGCACGAATACTCCAACCGCAGTGATGATCAGCACTCTGAGTGAAGCGGAGCGGAGACGGGTATGAGCTGTGAGCGCAACAATGAAGGTCAATTCGACCGCGTCTGCATGTGGTGGTGCCGCGCCGAAAGCTAGGAAGCTTGTGGGGAAAGAGGCCCTCTTTCGTGCGCCGGGAATACCAGGTATTGGCGTCTTTGAACTGTGGTCGTTTGGGACCGCGGCTCAATGGAAAAAGGATCAAAAGAAACCTGAAGCAAAAACGTTGAATGATGGCATGGGCGAAAATGGAATGTGACAGGAACGTGACGAGTCGCGTGGCCCACGTCATTGGCGTGTCAAGCTTGCAATAGAAGCACTGGACCCAATGAGAAATGACCAGGTATGAGAGCAGAGATAGCCATGGAAATGGTTGGCGATGGTTGGCGCTGGAGGGTGGTGATTTTCCACGGCAGGCGCTAAGGATGGAGTGAAGGTCGATAGTGAACGGCTGCTGCGGCAAATGGCCGGAGGGCAAGGGCAACAGCGACCGAGCGCCAACATGCCTAGGCTAGTAGACCCGCTGCTGCATGCATAACCTCTGCCAACGATAGTCTTTCTTCTCTACAAGGGCAAGTCCCATGTGAGCAGATGCTCCGTCTCCCAACCCCCAGCTGCACCTCGCCGTGAGAAAAGAGAGTCACCGCCCGCCATGGACAATCGAGCGTCGCCAACCCCGCCCACCGCTCGCCCCAGGAATTCCGCCTCGTCCATCGCATCCTCCTCCAACACAACGTCACATGCCGCGCCTGCCTCGCAACAGTCTGCCGGCATGCCTTCAAATTCACGGGCCGGGCGCGGGAGCACGCCGACGGCCAGCCGGTCTGCCTCCAAACTCATCGACCAGGACAAGCCGACGCGGGCAGCAAGCAAAGACAGCCTCAAACAGAAGATGCTGACCAAGAAGGAAGAGCCGCCGCAGCTGGGCCGCGCAGATGAAGTATGAGACTCTTTCTTGCATGGCACATGCATCGACTAACCGTCCGCAGCAGCTCAAGGCGCTCAAGTCGGAGTTTGACAGCCTTCGCACGCATCTCACATGCAAGATCTGTGACCGCTTACTCTACCAACCGTACACCATATCCTGCGGGCACACCTACTGCTATACAGTAAGACGCGCACCCTCCCACCGCATATGCCACCCTCTAACATGCCTAGTGTCTCTGCACGTGGTTCGTCGCCAACAAGGCCCGCAAGACATGCCCCGACTGCCGCATCGTCGTAAAGGACCTGCCCGCCCCCGCCTATGTGGTAAGTCAGCCTGCATGCCCTTCAGCGACGACGTCTAACATAGTTGGTCAGATACGAGACATGACGAGCGTCTTCATCGCGCGAGCCGAACTACTACCTACGGGCGAGAGCATAGAAGACCACAAGAAGTGGCAGAAAGACGAGGCAGATGCTGTGCAGCTGGACAAGGATAACGCAGACCCCCGCGCTGGCGGTCTCTTCAAAGGCTGCTTCAGGCTTCCGCCTCACCAAAACCGCCTGTCACTGCAAATCGTGCGCGATCAAGAAGATGGAGTTGACCGATGTCCGCTGTGTACCTGGGAGCTGGAAGACGGCGGATGCACCCATTGCGGACTGATATTCGACGAGACAGGCGAAGTCTCATGGGGCAACAGCTTCACCGGCTTCAGTGACATGGACGAGATGTCAGAGCACGACCAAGACGACCTCGACGCCGAAATGGACATGGAGGACCCCGACTACGACGGCTACGGAGACGGCATGGAAGACTGGGGCGCATACCCCCCAGACCAAGGCTCGTTCATGATGCGACGCTTCTTGGACGCTGGCATGGCACCCAATGCAGCGGCATTCGCAAGACGACGACCGATCACGCACAGCGAAGCCGGCAGCCGACGCTCCTACTCACAGAGCATAGTCTCAGACATGTACGGCGACGAGATGGATACGGTCGAGGAGGAAGACGAAGATGGTCTGGACGAGGACTCTTCGATGAACGACTTTATCGATGACGAGGCCGTACCTGCATCGAGTGCACCCAGCGCCGCATCGTCTACTCCTGGCCCCGCTGCCCAGCCTTCGGGCAACAGAGCGCGTGCCCGAGCACGTCGCATCGTCGAATCTGAGTCATCATCAAACCGCTCAAGCACCGTCGAGGAGGAAGACGAAGATGAGGAAGACGAGGGGCCCGTTCGTAGAGGCATGAGGAATCCTGCTCAAACCCGTGTTTTACATCGGGCAAACGGGTCGAGATCCTCCCGTGAGACAGCGTCAACAACATCCACCGACGTCTCCACTGAGGAGCTCGACGAAGATACACAAGCACTGTTGCGAGAGGAGGGATGGGAGCTACAACGCGACTACGACGACGAGATGGGAGAAGAGGATGAAGATGACAGTGATGGAGGAAGGACGACCGTTGGGTGGGAACCGCTTGCGAACTCAAATGACAGAAGCCGAATGGGCGGTTCTCTAACACCTACTGCAGATCGTCCTCGGCCTAGTGCCCCGATACGCCCGCCTTCCAGAACCGCCAATGTCCGCGTCTTGAATACCTCGCGTGGTCTCCGTCGAAGATCCTCTGTCCTGTCGAGCGCGACAGCCCACTACGAAGATGGGGAAGCGGACGACGATGATTCTGACCAAGATGGCGACGTCGATCTAGCCCTGAACACCTTGCGGACGCGCCGCTCACAAGCCCATTTGCGAAACCCTGCAGCTCGCGCTTACAACCAAGGGCCTGCTGCTGCGGATGGGACCAACGAGGCGGACACTGATGATAACTCGGATAATTCCCAAGGGCACAGGCGAGGGGCTCCTCGCGTGCAACGTCGGGAATACGATCCGCGTATCAGCTGGATGTTCGCTGCCCATCAACAAGCTCTTCAACAACACCAGATGGCAGGCGCCTTGATAGACGTCGAACCACGCACCATGACGCCGCTGTCTCGTCCTCGAACAAGGAACAGAAATCGGCCCAGTCCCGCGCAAGCTTATTCCCCCTTTCTACCTCCTGCTCGCATTCGAACGCCGCTTATGGACAACGGCACGAACTATATCATGGATCCGCGACTCCCAATATCGCCACCTCGACGAAGCGCCATGTCACCTGGCTTACCAGCGATGGGCAATGCCGGCCACATGGGCCGCTTTGATCGTGCGCCTTCTGTTGGTTCCAACAGCAATAGTTCTGCCGTCTTGACTCCTGGAAGTTCCTCAGCCTCTTCGCAACACTCCATCGATACGATAGCACAGACACAGGCAGCTGCAGCCATGGACATGATAGATCGTCCTATAAGTCGAGTCGGTGCTCGCCCATCTTCGGCAAATAGCAGGAGGAACTCTGGCAACTTTGCTGCAGCGAATGCGTTTCCTCATGCTGCCATGGGCTTGCATGTCCAGGGTGCGGCTCTTCCTCCTTTTGCTGCGCGCGGTAACCCTTGGGCTGCATTTGTTCAGGCACGTGGTGTGCGCAATCGTAACTCACGTCAAGTTCTCCGTGATCAGTCTTCGGTAGCTACCTTGCGCCCAGCGAACTCTCGCGTCAATATTAGAGAGGCTGGCAACCCTCCGCAAGGCGTGAGGCCTCAGCCATCACGTCTCAATCTACGACCTCAGCCATCGCGGCGCCAACTCGCTCCTCAGCCATCTACACGAGCCTTGCGCACGGCTGATAATGGGAGACCTCCCCCATCACCTACACAGAACGTACAAGCCCCTGCGCAACCTGCTGCTCGTTCCGTCGGGCTGACTCCAGACGAACGCAATCTTCGGGCTCGGGAACTTATCGAGACCAGAAGACAAGCACTTGGTCAGCGAGACACGAGTGTGCCCGCTCGTACCAATCCTTTCACACAAGGCTTCCAGCGTCCGGCGAATCCAACTGGCTCTCCTCAGATGCAGCAGCCAGCTACAGCACAACACGTGAGGAGCAACTCAAACGAGTCCAGCAACTCCACTGGGACGGTTCAAGGTGCTCCTGCATCACCAGTGCTTGGTCGACGCCGTAGCAACCGCAACATGCTAAACTCTACGCCACCCGGTGTTCTCCCACCGCAACAAGGTGCTTATGCTGCTCCTCCCGCACAGTATGCAAACAGCTACTACCGACCACGACCAGGTTCTTCGGGCTCACCCGGAGCATATGAACCCACTTTGACGAACAACACGCGGGGAAGTCCTATGATGGCGGGCCCTCTTATCTGACACGATATCATGTCATAAGATATATTTCTTTTATTTTATCGCTTTGTTGCTTTGGTGTTTTGGGCATCACACTCCTTTGGTCTTGGACTATTCTTATCTTTTGGGGCTAAGAGCATGGCGAGCGTATGTTTGTTTTTACGTCTGTTTTTAGCGGCATCAAAATGGGTTCAGCGAGCTTTGTCGAAGCATTTACTGGCGTCATTCATTCGGGTACTATACCATGGCATGAGCGATTGGGTCCTGGGCAGGCATAAACATGAACGATGGGGAAGAAAGGGGATATTATCTTAGGTTATTCGCATTTGGGGTGATGAATATGAGATTTTTGATGGTGCTATACTTGGAGCTACACGAGGGTGACAAGCTAAGTCTGTTCTAAAGCAGCTGTTCCAGACTTGTTCTTAGGTTGCTTGCGCTGGTCCTCCCTTGCTTCCTGTACCTCGTCTTCTGAGTCCTCTTCTAGATCCTCTTCATCTCCTTCCTCGGCCTCTTCTACTTCGTCGCCTACTTTATCTGCTTCCACTTCATCTCCCTGTTGCTTTTTTCGCTTTGCGTTCTGTTCCTTCTGCTTTCGCTCCCTGTTTACCCGTCCCTCATTCCAATCCTCTGTGTTCTTATGTCTACACTCCTTACAGTTTACCCAGTTGGAACGGGCATTGTCTTCCAGGTAGTTCTCCTCACACTTTTTGCATAATTTCGGCTCCTTCTTCTTGCTTCCGCCCTTATTAAGGCTTGTCTTCTTGATGGCTGTTCTGTTGACCTTTGCCTTGGCGGCTGTTTTCTTGATGTGTGTCTTCTTTGCTTCGCCTTCTTGCTCATCCTCGCGCTCTTCACTGTCTATGTCGTTCTCGGCGCCCTCGGCTCCTTCATCGCCGTTGCCATCGCCTACCGGCGCAGCAGAAGACCTCAGTTCAAAGCCATAGAGGAAGTGGAGTCTATCTGTCTTCTCCTTGAGTTCCTTCTGTAGAGCTGCGATGTGCTCAATCAGGGTTTTGATCTCCTCACGGAAAGGAATTGGTTGAATGGGAAGTGACATTTCGTAATTTCGCTGTTTTCCATTTACTGATCCCGTGGTCTGCTTATATGGTATGGCCTGATTTGTCTGTTTGCATGGAGCGAAGTCTAGAGAACGTGCAAGTTGGTCGGAGAATGAAGTTGGAATGTTCGCGTACTTGAGTATGGGCGACATGACACACTGCCTTGTGTGCAAGGAGTGAGATTGATGCTACGGCATGTTCTCGGAAAGAGTACCATGACTTTTAGTTGCTCAACACATGACTTCACGTCTTCACCACGGAGAAATCCACTGAGCTCTAGGCCGGTCCATGCCCATGTCACATGTCTTTGTACCACTAACTGCTCTTCGCTATTATGCTAGGCAAAGTTGGTCTACTCCAACGCCTATGCCCCCAATTACTCTTGCTCATCCATCAACGCATCCATCCTCTTCGACACCCCCTCTAAGTGCTCACGGGACCTCTTCTCAGTCTCCTCCACATTCGCCAAGCCCTTTTTCAGCCATTCTCTCAAGTCTCTGAACCAATAGTATGCCGATTCTTCCATCTTCTCCTCCTCCTCCCTCAACTCTTTGGTCAATTCCTCGACGGCCTCGGCATTAACCCACTTTCCATCACGGTTCCTGGCGGCGACCGCCTTGGTGAATGAAGTGAGTCTTTCATTTAGTCCTGATTTGTTGGCGGTCTTGATATTGCGTTCCATGCGATCGAATCGTTGGGCAAGACTTTGTATGTCAGTTCTGATTGCACTGATGTTCTCCAAGAGAAGTTGGCTAGCATCTTTGGCGGGTTGGGTGGCCGTTTTGATGTCTTTGTTCTGGAGGAATGGGGGGTCCATTGAGCTTGTGTCTCCTGTCGTTGTGGTGATGAGATTTAAGATGAACAGGATACGAAGAAGTGAGAAGGCGGATGTCTTATAGTGCTACTACACTACATCCCTTGGGGGTTTGTCACAAACCGAATGACTGGATCGCATGATTACATGGCAAATCAGCGGTTTTCTTATTCGTGGTACGCATGCTATGAGCTCGATAGCCGTCCTCGATCGCTAAGAGCCTCCTAGTGACGAGGCGATTGCACATCGAAACAATGATTTGGCCTTGTTTCCATCAGCGATGATTCAATCAAGGTGTTGTGTCACGCCTATGATAACAAACACTGCAAAATTGGGGTAGATACGTGGAGGCGATGCATCCACCGATCTAAAGACAACAACCATCTGCCCGACGTCCCAACTAACCACCTCCCTCCCCCGTCCTTCCATCTTGACTATCAGCTACTTTCCAAGCTCGTCAACCCTCTTCGTAACCTTCTCAACCGCATTCCCCACCATCCACTCCAACTTCTCATAAATCCATTCCGGCCCCGCAACAGTCACAGCCTTCCTCGCGTATACTTTCTGCATCTCCTGCACTGCCTCCGTCTTCATCTCATCCATAATCATACATGAGACCATGTTTGGAACCATTTCCCCCCTCACGGTTTCCTCCACGCAGGTTTCCAACAGGGATTGGAATTCCTTGATCTTATCCGTGATGGTCTTCTTGCCTTCTTCTGCGTCGTTGCGAATCTTGGTGGTGCTTTCAGCGGTGAGAGTATTGACAGTCTTGGTGAAGGCGACAGTTGCGGTGACGAGAGCCATTTTGCTCGCGAGATCTGCGTTCTTGTTGCGCAGGTCGTTGATCTCGCTGGGGAGATCTTTTGTGTCGTTCTTCATGGTGTTCAACTCGTTTTGGAGGCGCTGGAGAGTAGTTCCCATGGCTTTCTGTTTGGTTTGTTGGGAAGTGGACATGACGTGATGGTAGGATAGAAGAACCGCACAGGATGGTGAGAGATGGGTTGTCTTATACAAATTTGGAAATTAACTGAGTTGCGCTCAATGAGTGCTGCGCGTGAGCTAGATAGCAAATACACCTGCTATCTTGTGATCTCGGACGCAGTTTGCATGTCACGGATCGCAGTTACCTACTCAACCCTACCCGTGAGTTGCAAGCTTTCATTTCGTCACTCCTCGTCTCACATTTGTTCCCTACCACGATGCCTCTCAGCGTCTACTTGTTATTTCACGTCACAGCGACTACGTGTTAGGGAACCGTAGGATATTTAGGAGAAATTAGAGCTTGAATAGTAACTCGGCGAGATCGCCATGCTCATACTCTTGACAGCCGATGTTCCAGTCCGAAAGACATGAAAGGCTGCGGTGATGATTCAGCCGACAAGCTCTTCTCCTCGTACATCAACATGATCGACGATGTACATCAAGTATCCCTTCATAATACCAATCCACCAAGTAGATGTCCGCTTGTTGCACCGCGACGAAAGTCTCTCGTAAGATTCCAACACCCTCCTCGCCGTGCACGGCCGCCGACAAAGTTGATTAGTCCTGATTCTTGAACTCGCTCAGCTTCTCAAGCGGCTGACCCTTCAACAGCTTCAGCTCCTTACGGTACGCCTTTCCTGCCTGTCCATCTGCCCCAGCCTCAGCCGTCCACTTCAGCTTCTCCAGCAGAACCTTATTCTTCTTGAAGAGGTTCCGATAGTGCGTGAACATACCGACCATACGCGTCTGTAGCAGGCCCTTGTCTTTGATGGCGGCCTTCTTCTGTATCCTCATCTCGTGCTTCGACTCGGAGTCTCGGCTGAGCTCGGCAAGCTGTTCACCTCGCTCGCGGAAGTCTCCATCCAACTTGACGAGTTGTTGTTGCAGTTTCTCGATGTGCTCGCGTGCGACTGAAGCTTCTTCTGCTGACTGTTTCGCGGCTTTCTGGTAGTCGAGAGTGGTACGGCGCCCAGTGCCCAGCTCCGCGAGTTTGCCGGACATGTCGGTGTTTTGTGCAGCCAACCCTTTGTTCCTTGCCTTGAAGCGCTTGATCTCATTCTTGAGTTTCTTAGTCTCAGCTATGGCGGCCTTGACGTCTCCATTGGATCGTCGCATCTTCTTGGACGCAAAGAGCTTCTTCTGCTCACAGAGGTCCTGTGTCAAGGCGGAGACATTGGCCCTCAGAGTACTGTGCTCGTCTTTGAGTTGCTCGACATTGTTTGTGAGGTCGGTGTTCTCTCCTGTGAGCTTCTCGTTGCGTTCACGTAGCGTCTTCAGATCTTCTTCGTGCTCGTTTTTGAGTTGCTTGACATTGCGTACAAGTTCAGCATTTTCTCCTGTGAGCTTTGCGTTGCGTTCGCGCAGTATGTCCAGATCTTCTCCGGCAGCTTCTTTCTTTTTTGCCTTGTTCTTCCACATACGAGTCTCATCTTGGAGGAGACTGATGGTGCGCAACAGTTGACTCTTCTCATCAGAGAGCTTCTCGTTGGTCTCACGAAGTATCTGAATCTCCGCACTAGCATCGTCTTGAGCCATGCCCTCCACAGCGCCATGTCCGTCTCGAACTAGCTTGACACTGCGCGTGAGCTTTGTCTTGTCCTCTGTAAGCTTCTTGTTACTCTCGCGAAGTATCTTGATCTCTGTCGAGGCGGTCTTCTCCTTTGCCTCATACCTCGCCTTCAACATGGCTATATGATTCTGGGCGATGAGGTTGTGCGAAACATTCACTCCTCCCTTCTGCTTGACTGCTTCTTCTAGCTGCGCGATGTACTGATCAGTACGCTCTTGCTCTTCAAGGAGGGATTTCTCTTGGCTTTCCAAGGCCTCCTTGCCCAGTGCTGCTTCCAGAACTTTGCGTGTCGCGAGCATGAATGTAGATTTCTGTCCTGGGCCACGCGCCGTGGTGTTGATCTCAGCAGCAATAGTCAAGGCATTTCTATCGCCGATCTGCGCTCTAGCCGCAGAGCTGGAGGAGACTGCCCAGGTCGAGAAGTCAGAGGGTCCCGTATGCATTGGACCTTGACCAATACTGACTGGTTTTCTGGCCGCAGGGCTTGGTGAGAGAGCTTGAGCGAAGATGTTGTTGGAGTTGACGCGTGGTGTAGCTTGATCACCCTCGCTTCGCTTTCTGGTCGCAGAGGTAGGAGTGACAGCCTGAGCCGATACGTTGTTGATTTTCGTGCGCTTTGTATCCTGGGGTCCGCCGTTCCGCTTCTTGGCCGCCGGGCTTGGGGAAACCGTCTGAGCTGAGACGTTGTTGGGGTTTGCGCGCTTTTTGGCTGGACGACCGTTGCCTTTCGGGGCGCGTGGCTTCTCGACCGATCGGACGAAGATGATATCGTCGTCGTCGCCCGAGCTGCTCGAATCAGAGCTTAGGATGGTGTATTCCGGTTGCATCTGCTTGTTTTAGTGCCAGTATCTGCTGGGCAGGTTCGGCGCCGAGTACTTACCGTGTCTGCGGACCTGTTGGGTTGTCGTGTTTAGGCAACGGAGCTTTGAGCTGGAAACAGTGACTATCTGTCGAGACTGCCGCACACGCGGTGAAGGTGAGGGTGACTTGCTGCTAGCTCGGGCGGCAGGACGACCGAATCTGGCTATTGTGGTGCACGGTGAAAGAGAGAGTTGTTGCCTTGTAACGTCAAGCATGCACGCTGTATCCAGTTATGTAAACATGATGGAAGGTGAAGACGAAACTTTAGCGGATGCTACGGCCTGGTGCCCTTGCGAGTTCAGTTGACAATGAAGGCCTTTCAGGGACATATCGAGGTCATCATATCATATCTGCCACAGCTTCCATGCTCTTATGCGTCGCCCGATTCATATGTGTTTACTGGAAGCAAAGGCGATCTAGCCCGCTTGGTGCCGATTGCGACGCGCGGTGAACGAGAACACAGGCTGCCAGCCATAATCACTGTCAATGACGAATCTATCGAATCAACGAGGGCGTTTCATAATGTATTTCTTGCCAGAGCAAATTGTGCAGATGATGATGATACTGTGATGGTGTCGAAAGGAAGGAGATGTGTTCACTCAAGGTTTAGCTTGGGTAGGCGTCTTCCGCTGATTAGCAACCTGGAAAAGTGCATCATTGACCCACCCCGACACGCGACATTAGACTCCTCGATACCAATTGGCAGCTCTTCATGCTGAGTGAAATCGTGGAAACGAAGTTTTGTGATCTTCTTGATCATAATCCTTGAT